AAGAAGAAGAAGAAGAAGAAGAAGAAGAAGAAGAAGAAGAAGAAGAAGAAGAAGAAGAAGAAGAAGAAACTTGGACAGAGTTCCTGAGGAAGAACCATGTAAAGACTCAAGGAGCAGAAGCCATAAGAAAGCCATAAAGAGAGCCTCCGGAAGACAGTGATCTTGCCAGCGTCTTTAGTTCTAGCACCCACAACTGTCAGAAGGTAAGCTATGCTTAAGCCACCCAGCCTGCAGTACCTTGCTGTGGCCACTACCGCAGGCTACTACACACTTCTATACATGAACACAGAGGCACAGCACTAGACTCACGTGGGTACATGTTCACATATATTTTTATTTAGTATGTTATTTCTCTGACAGGGACTGTAAAGTAAATTAAAGGGAAGATTAAAGGACCAAGAGTGTTTGAATGATGTGGGATTGCAATTTTAAATAAGAATAGGATGTCATTTCAGAAAATGACATTTGAACTAAACCTGACTGAGCTAAGTAAGGCACTGGGGCAATGGGTCACTGAGGGACATCTCATGAAAAGAGCTTTCTATGACACAGCAGCAGCCAGTGAACGGACTCGGAAGCATGGTCAAGCAAGGAGGAAGGAGGAAGCCAGGGCAGCTAGCAGGAGTCAGGGCTTGGCAGGACGAGCCTGAGGAGAGGGAGTCAAGAGAACACCACAACAACTTCAACTTCACAGTGAAGGAAAAACAGCCGCGTTTAAACACATCACTGTTAAATTTTAAAACTTTGTGAATAAAGAGAAGATAGTGGGTTGGCGAGATAGCTCAGAGGTCTACAGCGCCTGCTTAGGCAAGCTCAGGCAAGTGCAGGGATCATGGTTCAATCCCTGGCACTACATGCTGTGCCAGCCCCGCTCCCAGGTTAGGCTGAGCCAGCCACAGGAAAAAAAAAGAAAAGAAAAGAAAAAAAGAGATTGAGAGAGAGAGAAGATATTAAATGTCCTCAGAAGGTAAAATGGGTCATCACTAAAGTGGGCCACTAGAGGGTCCAGGAATTAATTAGTATGGCAGGGGAATAGTATATTGTAAATCCTGATTAAAAAACAAAATAAATTATTTTTGCAAAGAATTCATCAAATGAAATACATAAGAAGACTACAGAAACTTACAGGTATCTGGTAATTCAGAAATCATATCTCCTGAAAAAGGAGGTGTCAAAGCAAGGAAAGGAGTGATTCAGAAAACAGTGGATGCAACGTAGGAGAGCAGGGAGGGCGACAGCGAAGTCTGGTGAGAGCTACATGGCAGCCTGGAGGTCAACAGCTCCTGACCCCAAGGAGAGGGAGGTGCTCGTAAAGAAAGCCAAAGGATGGAAGGAAATGGATGAAATGACTGGAAACAGAGAAATGCGAAGACTGGGTACATGTAAAGATTCGGTACATGTAATTGGACGAAGGATGGATTTTCCTCTCCAATTTGGTTCTAGGAAATTCTGCATTCATTGGTGCTCCAATCACAACCCCAAACCAACAGAGAAGAAAGTTTAATTCTAGCACATCACTCCCTTCTGTGGTGAACAACACTCACAGGACGGAACAGCACACACCTTCAGTGGCCTGCGGTATTCAGCATCATCTCATAGACTGACACTAGTAACATCTCAGAAGAAATCACAAAATCTCAGAATGAATACTATCTACACTGCCAACATCAACACAAAAGTAGCACCATACAGTACCGAGAAGTTGAAGTGGGCCCAAACGGTAGGCACGATGGGCATGGAATGATCTCGCTCTACAAAGAACCAAGAGATATTCCTACTCCCTAGTTACTTTTAAAAACAAAAGAAAGGCATATTTAAGAGAACTTTTACATCACTAAAACAGTAAGAAACTTGAGTCTGAGTGGACAGTACTGAGTGTATAGAGCTGAAGGTAACGGCATAACGTTGGGTGCAGGATGCGCAGCTGACAGACTCCGGCAGCTGGCCAGTAAATGTCTGCTTTCGATGAGCATGTCCTGAGGGCTCTGGGAGTGACCTGGAGACTAAACAAGAACAGAAGTACTGAATTTAAAATTAAGTGGTACCTTGGCTCACAAATGCTTTCACCTGCAAATAATCTGATTCACAAACAGAAATGCTTCATAAACTTTTACTTTTGTGTTGAAGCCGCACCTCTGGCGACAGACACAACCACGGTGACCCTTCCCACACAAACACAAACATGCCCGTCTTTTCCAAAATCACGGAAGTGAAGTCGTGAGCCAAGGCTGCACTATAGTTGCTTCTGAAGAATGAGAGTAGAGGAAGAGCAGGAAGACCGGCACGGAAAAGGGCCCTCGAACGAAGCATTCATTCATGCTTTTAGGTTTTCCCCAGGTGACTTACTTCTCTGATAATATAAATGAAAAGGGAGATTGAACAGTAGGCTAAATATTAGAGCTTTGCCACAGAGCTCAGGTTTTTGTTTTGTAATTTTTATTGCTAAAGTATACCTATCTAGAAAACTTACTCCCTGACAGTCTAGGTAAGTAAATTTAACCATACCCAGAATTTCCAGACTTCCTATGTATTCATTTACTGATTAAACATTTTAGGGGTGCATACGATTGAAGCGTCACTCACCCGTCAGTGTTTGTTATATTCAACATCATTCCACAGACTACTATTATAATGTTTCACAACACATTATGAAGTCTCAAATATTATCAATGCTGACAACATGATACTAG